ATGGTTCCACTGGCAATTACAGGGAAAGTATTTTTTTGATCGCATTTTTTTTGTTCGTTTGGTTTACATAAATTATATTGTTTTTGAACTTTTTTTTAAATATATTCCTAGAGTAAGTAGAAAAAATGAATCGAGTACCTATATAATAATTTAGTAAAATACGATTCAACTAACAATAAGAAAAAGCCACAGGCGTCATCGACTAGTCATCGTCTGCCTCACTTTAAAATATTCCTTCTCCGTTACTTTAGATCGATATAACAGTGGCGAAGGCTCTTATTTAAATAAGAAAGCAGTTTGCACATAAAATTTATTGGATTGAAAAGTATAAAAAGTTAAACTTTAACGACTTACCTAAACATTTATTACAGTAGGTATATTATCTATTTAATTAGACTAAAATACCATTACATATATTTTTCGACTTTAGACGTGCAAAACATTCAGTACCTATTTTATAAAAACAGAAATATAATTTTGTAAGTATACATATATTTATAACCTGCGATTTTTATTGTTGTTGAAACAACATAGACTAAGGACCAGCGGTCACCAGACCTACGTTATACTCTCGCAGTATAAAGATTAGGATTTTTTATGTATGTGCACATTATAGTAGATAATAACTTTTGAGTTTTATAAATATTGACTACGGGTGGGTTTGGTAGATAACACGTCCTCAAGGCATCAACAAATATCGGACAAAAACGTTATAGTATGAAAGCTGATTTTTTAATGTTCAACTGAATGATTATAATCTGCAATCAAAAACTGCCTGACACTTTTCGAGGGGTGTTACGTCTGCCAGACGCTTTCAAGGTATCGAAAGATGTGCGAACGTTATAGGAAACTTTTTTATTGTGAATTTTTCAGAAAAAATTGATAAAAGTTTGTACATAATGTTAAACCACTGCAAACTTAATACATATTAAAAAATTTGAACCATATACCAGAGAGAAGTAAAAAATTATGAATGTAGATCAATAGTAAAGAGCACTTATTTTTAAAAACAGAGAAGAATGTTACTTGAAAAACTTGTTTAAAATAATTATTTATCAGCAAATGTGAATAGGCTGATATCCTTCGGGTCTATCATTAAAAGGCCAGACTTAACTGAAGCGAACGAACATCATTTGTGCACTCGAGTCCAAGTGAAAGTATTAGTTGAGTTTATCAGTAAAATTCAATAAAAAATGATAAATTTTCGTACATTGTAAAGGGTATCTGTATCTGTAACGTGTGGAGGGTGGATTACCCCCCATGGCAATTAGGCCTCATTAGGCCCATTGTGCATCCTCTGAGATGATAGGTACATCCTAGCTCGTGAGCCAGCCTACAGATTTAATGTAGTTGACAACGTCACCAAGAGGTGCTTCTCGATACTCGCCGAACACAAATCTGCTAATAAATGAGAGCGTCGAGCAATCTTCTTGTTCGCACCCTCTGCAGAGTGCGGATTCTGACAGCCCCATGATATGGAGATGCTTTCGTACTTGGCAATGACCAGTCAGAATGCCTGTAACTAGGCGCAGATTCTGTCTAGTCACAGTCAACTATTTGTTTGCTGCAGTGTTGTCAGGATAACTTAAGAGCTCCCTGGCAACTCTGCAGTTTCTTGTTTCATCCCATCTTTCCTTAAATTTCACAAGGGAATGTTCTTTGATTAGGTCTGTTACTACCGATTTTGTCAGGCCAGGTCCAAAAAGTATTTGGTTGGCTGCTTTCTTGGCTGGTGAATCAGCAAGACGCTTACCTTTCGATGTGGCGTGACCTCTGATCCATCTTAAGGTGACCACATTATTGATGGATACTTCGGCCAAAGCTTCGTGACATTCTAGTACTAACCCTGAGTAAATTCGTGGTCTGTTCAGGGTGAGTAGTGCTTGTCTGCTATCTGTATAGATGAGCATGTTCCTTCCAGTGATATTGTTTCTAATTATTTCTTTTGCTGCTATGAGAATTCCCGTTAGCTCTGTTTGAACTACACTGGCACTATTACTTACAGCCCATTTTATCTTTAGGTTTAAGAATCTGGAGTATATTCCATATCCTGAGCCTTATTTTGTTTTAGAACCGTCCGCTGTAGATATGAATCGTACCTCTGCCACTTCCGGTTCTTCTATTTGTTCTATTATAACTTTATATGGCTTATAGAAGATGTATCTCGGTGAGAAGGAGTCCATGTTCACTTGAAGTAGTGGGAGCGTATCGAGTGCCTCCTGCCAAAAGCGACGTCTCACCTCACCAGATCCTGCATCAGGTTCTATTCCCAGCGTGCGGAGGCGTGTCATTCCCTAATAGCACAGTATTGTTACACGAACGTTCCAGAAACATACCCTTGGGACATTAGAAACGTCTCTATCATGTTTCTTATTCTCCCTCAAACGTACCTGGGATGTTTCTGGCAATGACCATGCCATCATTTGTAACGTATTAGAGATGTTTTTCAGAGACGTTTGTGGAACATCCTGCGATGTTGCTCAAACATCTTTGGTAAGTTTTTTATACTATTGCTGGAACGTTCTAGAAATGACTTAAACGTTTTTTAGTAGGATAATCAAATGTATTGCTTTTTTTCATAAATTTATTTAAAAAAAAAATATTTTTTGACACAAAAGATAAAAAATGTTAATTATTGCGCTCTGATTTCTTTCCGGAGCCCTTCACAACTAGTCATCTATTTTAATTTCCATTTCTTGTTTGTTTACCAATTTACCGAATCTGAAAAGGTTTCAATTAAGTGATAATATAAACAATTGATATTAGGTTAAAATAATTACCCATAATGGCTCCAGCTATTTTTGACTTACACAACTTACACAACTCGTTCCTTGAGGGGAACTATATGCATCTTCTAATAAATTCACACACATTATTGGTACCTTGGTTTTCAAAATATAATACCTAAAATAGTTATTTTTAAAGTTAACAAAGAAATAATGACTAGAATGTATAAAAGCCACATTTTGTTAAAGGAAATTAAGTTACCTTCTTCATTTTGGCTTGAATATCTCGCCCGTAAAACGATTGCTTTTGCATTGGCCAAGCCTGATTAAACCTTGAATTGGAAGTGATTTTTCATGTAGCTTTACGTACAAACTATACACGTCAATCCGGCCGCCTATTATCACTTTTAGTTTATTTAAAAGTTTATAGAGAAGTTGTTTATTACTTTTAAACTTTTCCAAACTTTATCATAAGCGAGGCGAAAGGCGAAGCACCTTTTTGTTTTCAACTATCAACACTAATGAATTATCTGTCATATTTCAATATTGTCATTTGACGGTAGACGTGTTCGGTTAATACTCCGCGAGCAAATCAAATATGAAGTTTATTCCTTTTCATCGAAAATATCGTTCCAACCATACAATTTGTGTAAATGGAACGATATACTGTAGCTCAGTGCTACACTTTCAATGCAAAAAAATAGATTGCATCCTTCAATAGTGTATTTTTTTTAGCTCGAGGAGGATTAACCGAACTCTACTGCTGAGCCAGAAGGAAGGGTATATTCATCTCTGTCGTATTGGCTTTGCACTCTTTTTTGAAGGAAGTAATAAAGATAAATTGGACCTGTAGCAGTTATCTTGTGAAATTAAAATATTGTTCAAAATGTTCAAATTTAATATTGGAGTTTGATATGATTGTAAATTCCTGGTGATTGCAGTAATTTTATAATTTATTGATATTTCAAAATAATTAAAACGAAAATAGAATACCTAAAACATAATTACGATGTTTCTGAAACATTCTTGAGAAATTATTCCAGAAACATTTCTTTAGAAACATCGTAGGGACGTACCATTTAGGTCAGAAACATACATGGAACCTAAATGGGATGTTTCTGGCAGATCGGTGTTATTAGGGTTGTCGTCAGAGCAACCTTCTTGATGTAAATATCAAGGGGAGTGAGACTAAGAATGACTTCCATGGCTATGGTTGGTGTTGTTTTCATGGCTCCTGTTATGTTGAGACATGCTGTTCTTTGAATTTGTTCTAGTTTACGGATAGCTGTTAATTTTTGGGTTTTCGGTACCCAGACAACTGCACCGTATGTTACCAAAGGTCTTATAATAGCCGTGTAAGTCCATGCGATGACTCTGGGGGAGAAACCTCAGGTTCGCCCTACGGTTCGGCGGCATTGTTCATAAGCAATGTATGCTCTTTTAACTCTGTTTTCTAAATGCGAGTTCCATGTTAACTTGCTGTCAAAGGTTAGACCAAGGTACTTCACCTCTGTTGCAAAGTTTAGTTTTGTGCTTAGGAGTTCTGGAGGTTTTAATTTCATTTTCTTCCTTTTCCTAGTGAAAAGGACCATTTTTGTCTTTTTAGGATTAATAGACAGTGAATGGTCCTTGCACCGCTGTTCGATAATTTTTAGAGCTAATTGCATTCTTTCGCAGAGTATGTTCTCAAAATTCCCTGTTTGCAGAATGACCAGGTCATCTGCATATGCTATTATGTAGTGACTGTCATTATTGAGGCGGCTGATGAGGGTATCGAGGACCATATTCCACAGGAGAGGTGATAGCACCCCTCCCTGTGGACATCCCCTCGCAACCAAGCCTCTTATGTTCACATCTTCTACACTTATGTTTACTGCTCACTTTGAGAGCATGTTATGTCATAAAGAAAAGTTGATTAGAATTGAAAATTACATTCAAATACATATGTAATTACACCGATCTATTTGAAAAATCAGATTTTTATAGATTTTGCATTGATCCACCTAATTACGGTAATCCATAATTTTTTCTCTCTCTTCTCTACTATAAACATGGTACGCTTTCCTTTTCTTGATGTATGTGAAGAATTTAGCAATTTTCTTAATGAAAATTTTCGATTTTGTCAAAAATAAACGTACTTTACTCTTGAGCAAAATTCATATTTTTTGACAAACTTCGTATACGGCTTGTTTTACTAAAAATACAGAAAGACCAACTTATTGTATTAATTTAATTGATTTAAAATAAATATGTAATAATTCTTTTCTGTTTCAGGGAATAATAATATCTCTTCTCATCTGTCCTTGTTTTTGCCAATTATCAATTGTACGAGATTTAGTACAATTTAATATTGCTGGACATCCCGTTTTACACAAAGATCAGAAGTGGCCGTTCGATCCAGAAGTAGGCATAAGGCGCTCTAGGCAATATCAAGAATTAAATGGTTACCTTGGAGAGAAGGCAATTGAAAGATTGGGCTTAGGGATAGATGGGTTGGATAGAGAGAGACTGGAAGCACAAAAATTAAGAGATGCTGGCCATCTAGGAGGTGTAGATTATTTAACACCATAAACACATTCGAGTTTTCCCGATGTAATGAAGCTAGTCTGCTTAATGATGGAATAGTTTTAGTATAATAAGAGGAAACTAGTGTTAGCTTTAGTTATATTTATTTGTAAAATAAAATGAATTTACTATTTATCAAATTCTAATTTATATCTCTGCCTGTGTCTCTGCTCGATATATAATCTAGAAGTAAGCAGCCAAATTTCATAATATACCGAAAATAAATTTGAAAATATAGGAACTAAAGTAATATCTAACTGACCTCAGTTATTAGAATTAACTTGATTTGCAATGCCAAATGTTAATTATTAAATACTCCAAAAATATTGAATTAAGGTGTTTAATACTACCACATTCATAAATAAATTTAATTATTTCTTCATTATGTATTATTTTAGTGTATGTTACATTAATATTTATATAAATTTGAATTTTAATAGTACTTAAAAATTTTCATACATTTAATTATGACGATGATAGAGGGTAAAATACTCTTGAGCTCCAGGAGAAGGTCCTCGCTGAGCCATTCTTTAGAGAGCAATCACTAATGTCGATAATATCAATATTAAAGTCTCCAGCAATAATTTCATGAATCACTGTCATGAATTCGCACTTATTGAGGTGCGAATAACCTTTTATGGAGTACCATCGCTTGAACCTAACAGGTTAAAAATATATTTCAAAATAACCGGCAACCGTATTTGCTGCCCAAATCGTTCCCGACAGATTGACTTACTGAATTCAAAATATGTCTAATTTTATGAGATTTCAATGTCCAGCACTCGGCAGCACAAAGACTGATCTCGAAGAATCCGCAACCAGTACAATTACAGTTAGTCAAGGATTGACCCAACTTTTAGAAACACTCATCTACGTTCCACGTGTATCAATTCCAATACCCTAGATTTATTCTTAATAACCAATTCCGAAAAACATGGTTAAATCATCTTTACTTGTGTATTCTAACAATAGACCGGGAGCCGAAAGGGTTTTTGCATGTATCATAGGCCCCACGCCAAGGCTTTGGAGGTTGATAAACACTGTAATTCCCCACTTTGAATTCCCGGTATGGCACCCCTAAAGTGTAGCTTTTAGGGGGGGTGAATTTTCAAGCGTGTAATTAATATCAATGTCTCTGGATCATAGGCCCCACTTTAAATATTGTTTTATGTAGTCAAGGAGGTTGCCAAAGTCCGAGAACTTAATGTGCCATACCAATATGGCGTCGCATTAGATTTGATATAGGAAGAAAAATATCTGAATTCCCATTTTTGAGGTTGCACTTAACATTTTTAAATGACACCGTTGGCAATTCGTTTGGAAAATAAGAAAAAATATGTTAATATTACAAATAACGATCAAAAATTAAAAAATATTTGTCATTAATACTTAATCGATAATAGACTGTAAGTGTAGTATTCTTTTTAATAAATAATTTAGCGTAATTACATTGTTAAAATTGATTTAAAAGAATATGAGCGTGCAGTCGATATTTATACAGCTTTTATTATCAGGTTTTTAAATTTCCCGCTGCCTTTTTTGTTTGATATTGATGAAAGCGCCACGTAGTGGGTCAGATGTTAATTGCGTTAAAGCTGGTCGGTAAGCATTGGCTTCTTATGAGCGTTTCCTATCTTTATGTCCCTTATCTCTGTCCTGTGCGATACGTTGAGATATACATTGTACCGATTGTCATGGACTCAGATAATTCTTGTTATTGGTTTTTTGAATATAATTTATTTTGCATCAGATCTTGATTTATTTTATGCAAAATTGGCGTAATAGACAAAAATGTCCGAAGTACACCCCAATCAACTGGCCATTGATGACGAAATCTACGACATATTTTACTTAGGGGTATACAGTGAAATCATGGGGATGGATATTATTCAGAGAATATAAAGACAATGTAAGATATGAAAAATAAGCAAAATTTATTGACAAAATCTTGGTATGGTGTGCTATATCTTCAAAGGGTTTAGCAAGGCCATACGAATCGGCAATGATCAAATTTTAAATTTTCCGTCCTTTTTATAAAGTTGGCGAAATTGACTGTAGTTGGCAGGTCGAACGTCAGCGCTGTCGATTTTTTATGTAAGTCAATGTAAAATGAAGTATATTTTTTTTTAAATTGGCGAAAATAATCAAAATAATGTGAAAAAAAAGTACCTGAGTACAAGAAACATGAGTGACAAGAACAACAAAGCAAGATTTACATAGTTCCAGATTGTAAAACGGGATACAAATCAGATGTAAAACTAAGGAAAACAAAAAGAAATCAATATAATGTCTTTTTAAAGCTTCTAATTTAAGTAAAATAATGTCTTTATTTCTAAATATATTTGTTGTAAATTAGTCACAACTCGTATCTTGCGGAGTGTGATTTATTTTATTACAAATTTCTTTAATATATAATTTTACAGTCATAGAACCTGATTTACAAACAACAATAATTAAACATTAAATTTGAACTAACAGAAAATAATTTTTTTTATATAGTTTTTTGTTAGATGAAGAGTTAATACTTTTATTTTTTTTTTGTTGATTCCTTATTTTGACATTACAAATGTTTTTATAGGATCCGAAACGTTTAGAATAGTGGCAACATATATATCGTTACTAGGGCCGATAAAGTACATTCTAGAGATGACGCTGAATGTAGTGAAAGAGAGTTTAGAAGAGATTTATAATTAAAATTTGCACATACTGGAGGAGAAGATTCAAGTTGTTCCACCGACATTGCTCTAGAAGCTATATAATAGGTTATTCAATTTATAAAGAAGATATCCATAAAAAAGCCTAAATTTCAAAAAAAGTCAGAGGGGGTTATTTTCTAATTTTCAGCTGAAAACTCATTTCCACGAAAGCACCAAGCTGACTTGTCAACAAAGTTCGATTACCGACATTACAAGCATGGTTTTCTCTAATGCTAAACGATTTTGCTAGTTATAATTAAATTTAATATTTGTCATAAGCTGTCATAATTATAAATCGTAAATGCTGATTGGTCTAAATATCTTAGGTTAGGATTTGAATGGCATTTTGACATTATTATAATTATAAACTAATATAATATATTGAGGTCAATTCCAGAATTACAAGGAATCAAAAACATAATTAACATCATATATTTGCTAACATTTTAATATTCAAGTAATAACATTTAGATCCATATTTTAATGTTTGACTTATGTGCCAAACAGAAATACATACATACATACAATGTTTCACTTATCTATCCAAAAATCTTTATTAAATATAAAAGCTTGAAGTGCGAACACCAAAATATAATATGTAGCTTATGCATAACTTCGGTTCCTATGGGATTTCCATTTATTTCTTTGAAAATAGACCACTAACCAACTTTACCCTTCTTTTTTATTTATTCGCTCTATGCGTAATGACAGCGCCAACTGAAATATGTACTAAAGGGGGATTTTTCGTGTATTGACAGTATCATTTTTAATAGAATTCCTAATTAAAAAATGTATTTTTTGCTTTTAAAAAAAGTATTCTGATTTATAAAACAAGTAATAAGATTAATTTATAATTATTATTTATTTTTATTAATTCAGCTAAAGCAAAATAAGTATATTTAATAAAAAAATTATTAAAACATGTGCCCTTAACAGGCAACAGTATTTACGAGAAAGTGTATGAAAAGTTGCCTAATGAAGTTGAAGGTTAACGTGGAACGTGTATTCAAAATTTAATCCCAAAAAATAGTTGTAATATTGTAATATTTTCGATTGTAATTTATACTTGTTTTCTTCATTTTGAGTTCCAAAGAAAACATAGAATTACTTATTAAATAACTGTTTTCCAATCAGTCACAAAATTGCATTCCAGATACAGACAATCAGAATCAAAGGCAGAAATATTTCGATTTTGAAGAACATCGTAAAATAATAATAATTTTAAGAATATAAAAGTTTTATGATGTCTACTATTTTCAATAGGTATTAGATATTTTTTTTAATAAGTGAAATATATACGTATATTTGATACGCCAAAATTACAAAATATCGCCCTAAAATGCACGAATTATCCGCAGCTAGGCTAGTATCACTTTTGTTTCCCCTACTATGACTTCGCACTAAGCGAATAGTTACCACTTTTGATACTTTTATATTGGATTTTAATATTTAATTCTTGTATTGTTTTTAAATTTGCGTTAATTATATATTTATACATTTTTGGATGAAGCTTTATAGAGTCTTATATATAAAACAATCTTATCACACATAAGTTGTACCTAGACAAATTTACAAGCAATACACACTATATTTTTTGACGTATTTAGATCAGTTGAATGGATTTCTTCCACTCTATAACCTGATAAAATTCACTATTATAACCTTATTTTTAAATTCATAACAGCATTATTTTGTTCAGGAAAAATACAATAATGAACTAATGGATTTTTCATCAAATCTGACGGTGTGTTTTGCTGGTGCCGACAAAATTTATGTGATTTAGATGTATACAGGAGGTTTTTATTTATACAATCTGTAAAATAACTGGTACATAAATATCTATTTTATTTCTATGACATTAAAAATTTATGAAAAATGTATTTCTCTTCTATAAAATTATTATTAATGAATTCATTTAGTTTATTAAAACAAAAATAAAACCTGAATCGATAACAAATCACTGAAATTGTTGCTAGAGTTGCGGACGTTTTTATGGAAAATTTTAATGTTACTATTTTACTAATAAAGCTACGGTTAACTTATCTTAGCATTTTAATTTACCTTTTTATGCTTCTAGTTGATATGTTTGTGTACAGAGATGTATTGTTTCTATTAGGCTTAACAGATCCTTCTTGGAATAAGATTACAGACTCTATAAAGGTAAGATTTATCAAATTTATAGATTGGTCTATCCATTACAAATGACTTTCCAAACATATAGTACGTTTGTTTATTCTTGACATCCCTGTATATGGTAAAAATTTGAAATTTATCACTTCAAGTGGTTATACCTCCTTTAGTTATATAATGGAAGAGTAAATTGGATTTTTTATTGTTGAGTTTCACAAATATTAATTTCT